TTGAGTCACTGTAAGTCAAGAATAAATTCGTCCAGATCCTTGCGACCCATAGATTCAGTCATGATATTAAATTTCGGATGATGACCATAAGAAAAGAAAAACGGGGAAACTTTCAAACTCGCCGAATCCAAATTGTTAATTGAAAATTCCGCCATATCCAAACATTTATCCCAATTGTCCTGATAATAGGAACAATAATGCCGCAAATAATCTTCTAGAACCTGATTCATGCGCTCCGTCTGACCATCCGTTTGTGGGTGGTAAGCTGTCGACAAAGAAGACTGAATGCTCAAAGACGTCATTAGCGATTTCCAAAACTCACTTACAAAAGTAGCTCCTCTATCAGAAACAATCCGATCTGGTAACCCATGCAAACGAAAGATATTCTTGCGAAATAGGTTAGCCAATACAGCCGACGACGATGCCTCTTTACACGGAATAAAATGAGTCAGTTTACTCAAAAGATCAATCACTACCAAAATTGAATCAAAACCCCCTGACAGGGGTAACTTAACAATCATGTCCATACCTATCGTACTCCAAGGTTTAGGGCCCGCCACTATCGGAACCAATTTACCATCTTTAGCTTGTCGTCGAGCCTTCACTCTCTGACAAGAATCACAAGATCTAACATAATCAGTAACCGATTTCGCAACAAATGGCCACAAGAACGTCCTCATCAAAGTTGACAAAGTCCGAGCCACACCTGGATGTCCAATCGTTGGTGCGTCATGATACATCCTTAATATCTTTACTCTTAACGTTGCTGGAACCAAAATTCTATTGCGATGAAAACACAAATCACCCACCCGATGAATATCTTTACCCTTAAATTCTACACAGACCTAATGCTTGGCGAAATAATCTAATAAAGCTTTATTCGGTCGTTGAAAGGATAAATCATGAATCCCGTGAAACCCTACCACATCAGATTCACCAATCTTGTCGCATGCTTCAGCGACAACCAATCGATCAACGATTGCTTTGGCCTCCAAAACACGCGTCTTTTCACCCACCAAATCCTCACGACGACTAGGTCCGTCAGCTGGATTCTTCTTACCTGAAACGTGATATATCAACATGTTAAAATTGTCAATAAACAGAGCCCAACGAGCTTGCTTTGGAGATAAGTACTTAGCAGTTTTAAAATAGACCAAATTTGAGTGATCGGAAAACATCTTAACTGGTTCTTCTGTTCCCATCAACCACGCTCGCCATTCTTCACACGCTTCTACAATCGCAAGCAATTCCAGATTGAATATCATCCACGAACGTTCTCTATCCGTCAGTTTCCTTGAGAAATAACTGACCGGGAGTAAATTACCTTGATCATCTGGCTGACTCAAAACCGCTGCGATAGCAAATCCCGAGCTATCAACATGAACATAACGAGGTTTGTTAAAATCAAAATGAAGCAACAGAGGTTCCCGGACAAATAAAGCTTTCAGTTCCTCAAAAGCCTTAACAGATAAATCAGTCCGCCACGACACTTGATTACCCAAATCACCTTTAGTCAATGATGTCAACGGACCCGCTACTCGCGAAAATGCCGGGATAAATTTCCTGTAAAAATTAGTGAACCCCAGAAACCGACGAAGTTCCTTGAGATTTGTAGGGTATGGCCAATGATTAATAGTGTCCAATTTCTTGATGTTCATCTTAAGTCCTTCTGCTGTTATATCAAAACCCAGAAAAGTAACCTGTGGACAAAAAAAATCACATTTATTTAAAGAAGCTTTCAGCAAAAATTCTCTTAATTTCTTCAAAATGTTTTCAAGATCAACCAAATGTTGATCTCTATCTCTAGAAAAGATCAAAATATCATCAATATAAACGAAGCAACAAACGTCAAGATACTCGCGTAATACATGTTGAATAAACCTTTGAAAAGTCGCTGGAGCATTCGCCAATCCAAAAGGCATGACTTGATATTCGTACAATCCCCACGGAGTTCTGAAAGCAGTTTTCCATTCGTGCCCTGGCGCCACCCTAAGTAAATTAAAAGCCGCTTTTAGATCAACCTTTGAAAGATACTTACAACCATGAAGATTATTGAGCAAATGAGAAATGACCGGCAAGGGATAAGAGTCTCAGATTGTCATATCATTCAGCAAACAATAGTCAACACAAGGTCTGTCAGATTTCCCTTCTACTTTAACGTAAAAAATGGGGCTGCTGCTGGGGACGAAGAGACCTTGATAAAACCTTTTTGCAAATTTTCATCAATGTATTTCTTTAACTCATCACGCTCTGGTTTACTCAAATTATACATACGACCAAATGGAGGAACAGCTCCTTCTTTAAGATTAACTTCACAATCAAATCCTGCCCGATGCGGCGGAAGAGAAGCCAAACTGTCTGTTACAAACACGTCAGAATATTTCTTTAACAAAAACCCACCGGGGGAATCTTCCACAGAAGAATTAGAGAAATGACAACCATCTATAATAATTTCGTTCTTGACACATCCAATAAAAGCATTGGTAGCTTTAAGCCACGTGCTACCAAAGATAACAGAAGCTGAAGAAAGCCGCGTCACGTGGAGTCGAACCGATGTTTCTAGAAATTTACCAGTGACTAAAGGAATCATAAAAATACCATCCACATAATGAACCACGTCTCCCGTAACTGCCGCAGATCCATCAAACGACCTAAGAGCTAAAGGAGTCGGTAACAAGTGCATTCTTAAGTTGTGTAAGGAGGCAAAATCAGAGTCAATAAATGAAGTTGAAGCACCCGAATCTACTAAAACTGAAACGTTAATTAAATCATGATCATGGATGATCATGTGGCCCTCAAATAAAGGCCGATTACTCAAAGAAGAACTTAAAACTCGATGGGAAGACTTACATTCATCATATTCCAATTCACTTAATTGGCAATTGAACATAATCTCACTAATTGACATAGGTTCAGCCGAAATCGAGTCCACATGAGCAGAAGTCGACTGAACAGGCGGAATAGGAGCTGGAGTCGAATGGAAAGACGAAATGCGCTTCTTCGGAGCATGAATACTGTCGAGTTCTGAGATAGATTCACGTTTCTTCCCTTTATCCACAGAATCGCTACTGGAACGGTAAGATGAGCGCTCGAAATCTTGATCGTCCTCCCTCAATCTGCCACCCCATTCTTTCCAAAAAGGCAATAAAGATTCCTTTTTCAACCATCTCGACTCCGGAAGTGGACAACCCCGATTATCGACATGATCCTTGTCGAAAGGCTGGAGGCAACAGAAGCAGGTTAGAGATGGCAATGGGTACCCGTTTGCGGGTACCCGGTACCCGTTTGCAGGTACCTGTTCTTCGGAGCGGGTACCCGCCCGCGGGTGCTGGGTGCGGGTGCGGGTGTTGAGTTTTGGGACAAGAAACGGCAGGTACCCGGGTACCCGCCTTGACACCCGCCCTGACACCCGCCCTGGGAATACAGTTTTGGGCTTTTTGGGCTGCACAAAGGTGTCAGCAAACTATGTAGGACACCATTTGGTGTCCTACATGGGCCTGTTTAGGCCAGAGGGAACCCTCCAGCCTTCAAGATGATAGATCAGAGAGAAGATAAAGTGCAAATTAGTGATAGGATATTTTGTTCTTCTTTATTTCTTTATTTTTATTTTCTTACTCATATATCTAGTGAATATCAATCATACATTTGGTAAGTCATGCAGAAATTCAAGGGTGAGATTTCTGGGTATATTTGCCTGCAAAAATGTGCCAGGTACCCGCAGGTACCCGGTGCAGGTACCCGGGTACCCGCCCCTGGCGGCCCTAGCAGGTGCGGGTGCGGGTGCGGGTGTCAAAAATATTGGATTTTTGAGGCAGGTACCCGCACCCGCTACAGGTACCCGGGTATCGAGCGCCATCTCTAAAGCAGGTCTTCCTGTCAGTACAAGCCTTCCTCCATGCTGGCCACGTAAAGCCAACGGAAGCCAACACTGAATCGATGTCCATTGGAAATGCTTGAGATGGCTTAGCCACGACTGGTGCCGAACCGGAGACACAATATTCAACGCGTGGAGGTGGGACCGTGAATTTGCGTTGATTGATCTGATTAACCCAACCAACATCAAGAGACAACTTGACTGCCATACATTGCATGTTGTCTAGATTTGTCAGCTCAGACCAACCCCCACGTTGAATGCCCAACTCGATAATCTTTTGATTGATTGCGCGTTCGTAATGTTCAAGAGCAGACTTGGGTGAGAGATCGACTGAGTAAAGCAAGGTGTTAAACTGAATGTTGAATTCAGAAATTGATGAGCAACCTTGACGAAGAGCAAAGAAAGCTTTTCGTTAGAGATCGTTCGTTCGGACCTAGGTACCTGCTCATTTTTTTCAAGAAAATGGATACCATGTACCGCACCAGACACCTCTCGGAGGGTACCTAAGGTACCTGTTGCAGGTACCTCAGGTACCTCCCCTCTCTTTCTCACTTGGTTTTAATGCAGCCCCCCCCCCCTTTTGGTAGGGAATAAAGAGACATGAAAAGATAGTGACAGCTATGGGAGTCAAATCCATGTCACAGTCATGGTACAAACCTGCTCTAACGCTGAACTAAGCCATCTGGTGCATGGCATACAGAGGCTACAAAAGGGAAGTGAGGGGGTACCTGTAGAGGTACCCAGGTACCTGTTCAATTTTTCACAAAAATAGGTACCAAGTACCACACCTGGCACCTCCTGGAGGGTGTGGGGCGGGTGCGAGGGGTACCCCCCAGGAGGTACCAGGTACCTGCAGAAAGTACCAACGAACGATCTCTACTTTTTGTGCATCCTCCTCTTCAGTAGAACTGGAGAAATGTGATTCAATAAGGTCTAAGAAAGTATCCAACGTAGCCAACTCCGGAAGAACGAAAGGAGCCAAAGCCGAAGCAGATTTAGTCGTAAGCCCTTGAGCGTCCGCGTTACGAGTGAGAAGGCCTCGCCACCAAGCATACGACGGACATGGATCACCCAAACGACCAGAAACCATACGGAAATAACTAGAAATCCACAAGATGCGGTCGCGATCCGACCCAAACTGATGAGAAATACGAGCAAAGGCGTCTCGAATGGAATAGCAAAATTGGTGAGTCTCTGAGATTTCACCGGAAAAGGATAGATGAGAGTAATGAGGGGGATCTGAATGAAATTTAGCTTGAAAGGTGGCCTGAGTTTCCAACAACGCCAAACGCGAATTGGTAGAACCGGATGCCGTATCAAGAGAGTTACGAACTTGCAAAAACTCTCACGAAACCTGAGATTTCAATTTAGTGAAGTCGGAAGCAAAAACTAAGAGTTGACTAAGCTCCTTGATGGTTGCGTTGTTCCTTCGTAAGACTTCCTCGTTACGCCTAGCTTGCAATTCGAGAGAAGCGATAGACTGAGAATGAGACAAAATGGTTTGATCTTGATCAGGATTCTCGATTTGTAAACCCGAAAGAAGGTTAGAAACCATATCTTGATTATCTTGTCGATTTGGTGCTGGGGAAGGGAAAGGGAGACTTGGAGATGGAGAAGGAATGGGTCTCGGCTGGAAATCATCCGGCATGGGAGATAAAGCTGGAAGATCTCGATGAGAAGACGTCGCGACATAAACGTTCGGGGCTGGACTATTAAAGGGGGAGATGAGAGGATGAGAAGATTGAAGACTAAGGGCATTCCTGGATGGAGAATCTGGGAAAGCCATTCTGTTCGACGTGACGGGAGAGGAAGAGTCGGACATAAGAATATCGAAGAGAAGAAGGTGTGAAAAATCGAGAGATCAAGGACAAAAAATGAATCCCAATTTGAAGACACTGGATTGAATGGGAACCGGACGAAGGAAGAAAACTTGAAGAGATAAGAGAATTGAACTCGGAATCGAATGGAGCGATGAGGATAGCAAAAAATTTTCTAAGAAATAAACTCCTACGAAGTCGAAATTATTTCAAAGAAGAA